TGAGTCGATACTTTTTGTAGGGGTGTGTATATTAATATATTAATATTATTAGGTAAAATGTTTATTATTACAGTCGGCTCTGGATATAGTGAAGCATTTGTTTTTAGAAAAACTTCATTATACAGTACGATTCATTATATAAAAAGATCATCGAAATTTCACGTGAAATTAAATTAAAATTTATTGGTTAAAATATATTAGCGTTTAAATATTAAAGAATAATTTTAAATGATATGATTGTATGAAAGAAGTATTTTAAGTTTATGATAATTATCTAAACCATCTTTCCAATGTGGCTTGCTTTCTTGAATCAATTTCATATCTACCTATTCGATTTTTGATTTCATTGATTGAATTAATGTGCTATAATTTAAAAACAAGATTTTGAGGTGGATTTTTAACATAAGAAATTACTGTATCTAAAGATTTTAATACTTCTACTGTAGTAATTGTTTGTGGAATTCCTTCTTCTTCTTCTTGCTCTGTTTCAAGTGTTGTTGGTCTTACACAGCTAATTATTTCTTCATCAGTAACTTCAGTACCTCCATATTCCAGACTATCATCATTATCAATTGTAATAAATTCTGTTGCATCCAGTTTATCTGAAGTTTCAATTGTATTTAATTCATCTATTAAATTTTGAAGGTCGCCAACTTGTTGATTGTTGCTACCTGTATCTATTTCCACAGCATCCTCTGAGATTGGTAAAATACCTGTTTTAACCAACAATTTTTAATTGTTTCAGCAGTTACTGCTTTCCAGGCATCTGAGCAAAGTGTAATTGCATCTGATATTTTTAATGCTTGAAGAGAAGTACCAAGGTTTTGATGCACATCATAAGCATCAATTCTGTTTTTAACAAGTAGTTTCCTATAATGAGCCTGAAAATACACAAGTTACAACAAATAATTATTTGAAAAGATAAAAGAAAAAAAGATTTATTATTCTATTAGATACTTTGAATGAATTAATGATCCCTGCATCAGCAGGTTGTAAAAAAGCGGTTGTATTAGGAAGAAGATGGTGAAGGGTAATATTCGTTAAAAAAGTATTTTCTTCAAGAATATGTACTGGTGCATTGTCAAATAATAATAATATGTTTTTGCCTTTTTTCACCATTAGATCATTTAATTTCTTCAAATAAAAATTCCAAATGGAAACCTGCATCCATGCTTTTGCATTCCAATAATAATCAACTGGAAGATCTGATTCATCAACTCCCAGCATGTCTCTAGGTGTTTTATATTTGTGAATAAATAAAGGAGGAAGCTTTACAGTTCCTGTTGCATTCATAGTTAATAAGAGGGTTATTGTAAGAATTACTTTTCTTAACGAGAATAAAAACAATATTTTAACACATTCGTCGAACAGGTACTTTAATTATTGTGAAAATAAAGTTATCTTTATTATCTTAAAAATGATGTCCTTTATATAATAAAATTACATAGATTGATATGATATAAATAAAACATAAATAATAATAAAAGATTGATAAAATATAAATATAAATAAAATAATCATCATAATTCTTATAAATCTATCCAGAAGATTTGTGGACATAGATAAGTAATAAATAATAATTAAAGACACGAAATAATTGATGTTACAAATAATGATTAATTTTGTGTCACGTTTCCAGATGTAAATATTAATGTACTACATAAGACGTTGTATATGATTACAAAGTAAATTGTTACAATAAGTGATTTTTGAAAATTATCAATTGAAAATCATTGAAAATCTTATACTAATTTGTAGGTTTCTGTATATTCCGCAAAAAGAACCTTTCTGTATATAATATTACCTCTAAAAAATCAATTGCTTTTTGATATTCATTAGAACCATTATATTTATTATTACTTTTCATATACACCTATCCCTATATATATAATTTATGTTCACTTTGTAAGTTTTTTATAATTGTTTTAAAATTGAAGTATATGAATGAAATTAATCTTAGATGAATCAGTGGAATAGGTTTAAGTAAATGATTTTAAAAATGTGGTTATTCAAAAATTTGGTCAATTGGCTCCATGAAAAATAATTATGTGCAAAAATTTCATGTTTCCTGATTTTTTTATTAATGTTAATAAAGATTTACATTTATCAAAAAAGATTTTACAATATTAAAAATCATTATTATAAAACATCTTTTAAAAAAAATTTATACATTTAAAATAATATCATTTCATTTTAAAAAATGAGTGCCATTTAAATTGACTACCACCTGTGTGATTGATTCAATCATTAATGCTAAATAAACAAATGATTTCAGAATAATACCTTTCATTGCAAGAGTGAAATAAAAATAATTACTTTTTAAATATAATTAATTATATACCTTGGTTAAAATAAAAAAAAAATAAAACAAACATACATGATATTGCTATTTAATCCTTCCCTCATATGTGAATGCCTCCATCCATTATATATGATGATTTTGATGCCTATTCAATACATTTGATATCATCATTGACATAACAAATAATTGCATCACCCAAGTAATAAATAATACCAAGGCCATGCAGAAATGAAACTTTTCAGGGATTGATTTTGGAACAATAATGCATGTCTACCCAGATCTCTGGGGTTCACAAAATAATTATTTTCAATTATGGTTGCTCATGAATAATAAATCTGATGTTGATCATGGTGTCAGATTTAATTGAAATTTCCTGTCACAAACATGCAGGTCGGTACAATTAAGTACTTTTCAGCACCATGAAATTTTCTTTCCACAGGTGAAAGCTCCCTGAACATGTTGGAAGGCTTTGGGCAAAACATTCCCTATCTTCTTTCCCAGACCAGGCTTGGCTGTCACCATATGGGCATTGATTACTGATAGCTGGTGCTTGTTTGATGCTTGCTTTGTGTTATACCCCTCTCACTAGTATAAAGTCAGTGTCTGCAACTGGTTGAAAATTCTCCAACTTGGAGGCTGCAACCTGGGTTGCTGTAATTTTTATAAAAAAAACATATTAATATTTAACAATTAATTATTTAAATGTTTATTTTGTTGAAAAAAATATACATTGATAGTGTACATTTTCTGTGCTTAACATCCATGTGACCCTAAGTCTGGACAAAAGATCCCTTTCTATGAGTTTGGCTGGTACATCCCAAGGCGTCCCCTGTCTTGTCAGTGGCATGCCTGCTCACCAACAACCCTACCCCATTTACTAAAATAACAAGTTCAGTTGGTCAAATAAAAATTAAAGAGAAGCAGAAAATTTATGAAAATGATTATACAAAAAACACTATTTTACAACTTTCCTCTTAACATCAGAGCCAAATGCAATTTCAGGGCCACCAATCCTGCTCTGAATTGTGACCTCCTATTCTCTTTGCTTTGATGGATCTGGATATTTGCATGGCACTACAATTCATCAGCAGAATTGCAACTTGGTCACAGAGCCATCCTTACCCTAGAGGCAGGATCATTGCAGGCAAATTTTTGGCTAGCATGCCAGCAGCCTTCTCTGGTCTGGGTGCTGTGAGGGAAGATTAGTGAAAGTATCATTGACGATTGATACAGTCTCGGTAAACTCCAGGGCCATGCCACCCCCCCCTGGAAGTCGGTTGCATCATCATATCATTGGGCGTCGCAGGTTGGTTTAGCCTTGTGTACATGAGGAACGTGTGTGAATGACTGTAATGTGTTCAAGGTAGTGTGCTTCAACGCCTGCTATTTTCCTGTAATCAAACATTGCATATTTGAATTGTCTCTTTTTCAACAGTGTGCTGCCTTGACATCTTGTAATTATAATAATATAATATTATTATTATTGATTACGAAAAGTAAAATATTATCAATGAAAATCTTGTAATTACCCAGCAAGATCCAATTAAAATGTTTATAATAACCAAAAAATATCAATACAAGTAAAAAAAAGTACCTCTGGTTAGTTATTAACACGTCTTCTTTAGGAGACCCAAACTAAACTAAACAACAACGTTCATGTTTTGTCACCTTGGACTCTGTCAAAAAATAAATTGTTTTTCCAAGAAAGAAAAAAATCAATTCGCGTCTGTCCTACCAAAAAAAAAAACCAATAGATAAATAATTAGTGTGGTACCATACCATATTACAAACTTCTTTTAACTTTTTCACGTCGTCCTCGAGAATCAACAATTTTTACATTCACCACTTCGCCACCTTCGCTATTATAATCACTAAGAAAATCATCATAACCTCTCGAATCTTTTTCTGACAAATTTTTTTCAACTGGATCCTTATATATTGAAGAAAATTCATTTTGAGCTATCTATTATTTAATTTGTTTGCTTTGGTGATTGAGAAACTGTTGTAGAATTTGGCATTACGTGTCGATATCGACAATTATCACCAAATTGACAACTTCCAGGATTTCCTTTAAATCCTCTGCAAGTTTTATCTTTATCTTGAGATTGTGAATTAAAAAATGCCAAAAGATACAAGAGAAAAACTTAGAAGAAAAAAATCTAGTAATGCAACGGAAGCAGTAGCTGGGTAAGTGTTTTAAGGATGGTGGTGGTGGTTATCGCCCGCCACTTGTCATCCTCTAGTTACAATTTGCAACTTGTCACCATTCTAATTAATAATAATAAATAAATTGCAGGAATAATCCGAAATTTGGTAGAGAGGTAATTGTAAGTATTTTGTTGTTTATAAATTGGCTTTAAACTAACTAATTTAAATTTATAGGGGAAAAAATTATATGATGATCTGTTAAAAATACACAATCAAGCTGCAAAGGGGTAATATTATTAATAATGATCAAAATTTTAACTATAAAGTTCCAAAATTATAACAATTGTATTTAAAACTTAGTGATCTGATAAAATATGGTATTGTTGACTTTGGAAGCTCTAACACAAACATCCAAAAGATGAAGGATAAATTTAAAAAATTTGAAAAGAAATTCAATGTTTATAATTATGTTTTCAGTGATCAGCATATTAAAGAAATGTTGGAAGATATCAAAAATTTTAAAGAAAAAAAGGATGTTCAAGATTTTCTAAATAATTATAACAAGTTTGAAAATTTTGAAAGCAATGACATAACAGAACGAATGAGTCATTTTATATTAATAGTAATCAAAACATAGTAAGATTTAAATGCTTTTTTTTAGAAAAATGGTTTCAACATTCATTATAATGATCTATTTTTGGAATTTCAGCTGGAATTTATTTGCAAGAAATGAAGCTTACTTCACCGAGTTATATTCTGAGGAGCATATCCGTTCTATCTTATATACACCAATGTTTGATGCTTTATTCTTCAATAAAGAGTATCTTTATTATATAAACAGGTACATATATAATTTTTTTTTCATTAAACTGCAAAAACATGAATTTTTAAAAAATAATTTTGATTAAATAGTTCAAGTGATGCAAATAGTGAAAGGCGTAACAAAGATAAAGAGAATGTGTCAGAACGTACACGAAATCCCCTTATTCCAGATATCAAAGTAAACTATGCTATTTATGAAGCTGAAGTTGTTACATTTGAGCAAGCAAAAACTGCTGCTCGGAAAAAGGGTCTCAATAAAGCAATCAATGATTCAAATAAATTATCTATACTATTACATGATCAAATTACTCATTTTCATTCTATCCTGGAAAAAAGATCTTTGAAAAATTATATTAATTTGATAAATGTATTTGGTATCCGCATTTCTGGTAGATATTAAAGCTTAATATAAATTATTTATTAAGTTATTTACTGTATTTATTCTAAGTATAACTTATTCATATAAAATTAAACAGAATTAGATCTGGATATCCACATCATGTATTTAGCTGCTCCTGAACTTTACCTGAAACACAAACTCTTTTCAATAAATCTTCCTAAACGACTTTCTGGTTTTTGCTCCATAAGAACTTGTTTAATTGACTTAATTAGATTTAGGGTAAATATTTGCAATATATATATGTAAAGTATTATTGATTATTATCATTTGCAAATTCTAATCAAATAATATAATATATTTTTAGTTGATTTTAGATGAATCTTATGATTCATTTAAAGGAATTATAAGGCTTGATTCATTAGATTCTAGACTTGCAAATCCTGACACCTCATGGATCGTCAACATTAAAGAATAGTTATTATTATTGGTCACAATTAAATGATATTGGATAATAGATTTTAGAACAATTATTTGGCAAAGAAAAATAGCAAGAATATAATAATTAAATAATTTGAGAATATTGCGCATCATTAATTGATTAATTAAAGCTAAAATAGTAATATGTTGTTAAATTAATATATTAATATGTTAACTCCAAATTTAAAATTATGTATGACTCATGTTATAAGGACAGCTCATTATAGTGACAATCTTGGTATAATGACATTTTTTGCTTGCCCTAGGAGTAACTTGTATAGCATAAAAAAAAATTATTACATTAGTGATGAATGATGATTAAGATTTTTCTTGAACCAACCAATGTTCGTTTTGTTGCAATATGCCCCAATTATATAAAAATAATAATATAATTAACACAAAACAACAATTCTCCTCAATAATTTTTTTAGAAACAACAATAATTCTCTTTTATTTATTAAGATAATAATTTTCATGATTTTTATCTTATCCATTTTAATAATTTAAATCTAGACATAATTATTTTTCATGGAACTGGTTAAGGATTTTTATTTTCATATACTTGAATATTTATTTGCAGATCCATTCAAATTTAATTCTTTGCTTGTCACCACAGGACCAATTTTAGAATCTCTTCAATTTTAAAAATAAACTAGTGATATTGATTCTAGTAACTTCGTCACACTGTGTACTGATACACCAATATTTATAGTAAGTAAATAAATTTTTTCCTAATTTTCTAGGTTCTGTGTTAATATTCTTTTATTAATTATAACTTTTCTTTTTCTCTCTTGGCAAATTTCATAAGTGATCTTTTTTTGTCTAAATATGTTTGCAAGGATTTAGTATCTGCTAATTTAAAAATATAAGGAGCAATCTTTTCTCTTGTTCTTCAAAATACTTCTGATGGTACTATAATTCTTTGGTTCCATAGTAGACCTAATGTAAATGAGTTTCATATTAACTATTTTTGTCTAGACAAATATCATGATCACATTACATTGTAATACATTGTGATATTAAACAAACACTATTGATCCCTGAAATCCTTGGTAATACCAATGTTCACTTTGTCTGGTTTTGTTGCAGCATGCCCCATATAACAAATCTTAAAAATAAGTTTGAGTAATGTTCTACTTACATAGACTCTTTTCGCAATGTTTTCCAATACAGCCATAAAATAAGTTTTCAAAATGAGAAAAGAGAAGAACCCAGCATCAATCAAGGCTGACACATTCTCACGGATTGATGCTATATTGACTATGAATTTATTTTCTCCAAAATTATATCCCTGCAGAAAAACATTTGTAAGATCAAGACATTCAACATCTGGATTAAAGATGTTATCCGAAATGGTTTTTGAAAAAATCAATTTTGGCAGGCAATTTCGGATTTACAATATTTTCATAATGATTGACATAAAAAAACTATCCAGTCTGAGGGGCCGATTTCCTAGTCCAATTCCCATATATATAGTAATAGAAAATAATTTGAAAGGACATGTCACACGACTGCTAATACTAATACAGTAATAGTCGTGTGACATGTCCTGCAGAAGTTTATTTTCCGAAAAATTTCTGGGTTAATACTCCATGGGTTGCTCCGGGTTACTCCAGATTACTCCATGATATTCCGGGTTGCTTCATGAAGTAATAATAATAATTTCTTGTTTATCATTATATTCTTTTGAAAAAAATTCCCAAACCCAAGAGTTTCACGTAAAGTGTTTGATAAATTAGATTCATTTTCTTGTATAGAATTAGTAACTGTACTTGTGGTAGCTGTACTTGTGTTAGTTATAGTTGTAGTAGTAGTAATTAAACTTTCATTATCTTCTTGACTAAAAATCAAATTAATCTCACTTTCTTCTCTATTTATATTATATAATGATTCATCTGATGGTTTAGGCTCACTATCTGAAAGCATTTCGTATAAATTTTCAGTTTTTTATTCATAATAAAAATTCGCGAACAAAGAAATCAAAATTAACAAATTATAATCAAATTACTAAAATAATTTAGAGCAACCTAGAGCAAAATTATATAGTAACTCGGGTTATAATAAAATATTTTGCTCCAGGTTAGTACAAAAAATTAGAAATTTTACCCACTCCATGATTGAGTGATACAACCCTACAAGTTTGAAATTATGGTGTGTAACCATTACTATATAAATAATTTTAAAATGAATTCATCATATTGTAAAATAACGTTTTAAATAGACAAAAAACTTTGTTAAATTAAGAGATAACGTTTATACCCATGAAGTTTCATTAAAAACGACTTGATTTATATAATAATTTTCTTTTTTATTTTTTTTTTGTTATTATAATTAGATATGTATGTAATAAAGAGAGGAGTATAGTTAATTACAATCTCATCTAGATAACTTCAATACGCATAAAGTTTTTATTAGTAAGGAGTTTTTTCCAAATTTATAATAATGCATTAATATTTTTTATTAATTAAATACAACTTGCATCTTTCTATAATTGTATAACAGAATAATAATAAAATTATTACTATTTACTGTCAATAATAGATTTTCTATATAACAGACATTTTCTAATACTAATACTAGTACTAACATGGTCCATTATAGTGGAGAGTGAACTTGTATTTATTACAGGTAAACTATACCAGTTTTTTATTTATTTTTTTTTTTTAAGTTATATACATGTTCTTTATATTATATTCATCATCTACCTTCATTAGCTTCATTATCGAATGATTTGTATCCACCGAATGATATTCACCGGTTAATCGGGTGTTTGAAAGTTAATTGGTGAATAATTTGTGGTACAGAACATAAAAATGAATGAAATTTTTTTTTAATACATATAAATACTATTTTGTTCACTATTACACCAACGTTCTTTCTATTATAACAATGTAATATATCAAGTAATATAATAATACCCAACTGTGTCATTATTAGCTAAAAACATTTATGCGTTGTAGCAACTTCTACTCCAAGTGAGCGTCTATTTAGTAAAGCTGGAACACAATGACAGCCAAACGAACAGAATTGAATCCATTGTTATTTGAAAGGATTGTATTTCTTAAAAAATATATCCAATGTATTGAAAATATTTTTCTTGATGAATAAATAATTGTTATATTTTTTGTATTAAATTTATTGTTATGAATATTCAATGGATATTCGGCGGATATTCAGTGAATGCCACTGTCATTTATCTTCCGGCCCAACTATGTTGTCAGATTTTTCTAA